GAGTTGTGTCTATATGAAGCTGCATTTCATTTCCTGAGATATCACGTATAGACTTTTAGATTGAATAAGTGTATTCAATGGTTGAATTTACAACTGTAGAAACTACCTTCAAGTTGTCACATTATAGCCTCATTTCCTCTAAGAGGAGGAACTCGGGAACGGCAAATGGTCTGGTGAGAGGAAAAAATGGGGGAAGTGGATAAACCTCTCTTGGTTTTAGTCCCATTTTAAATAAGCTTTTAACATTCTACCACCATTTCCTGTATTATGGACATTATATTGCTTACTATAATACATAATTAGGAGGGGAAAACAAGGATAAGAGTAACATTTGACATTCACTGATTGTTTCTTATCAATATGCGTATTACCAGAAGAATCTTTTCTCTTTTTTTTTTTTTCTCTCTGCACAGACCATAGGAGAGAGCACATCAGATAACAGAGATTTTGCTTGCTCAAAATAATTTTCTAAAATTAAGATCAAAGAGTAGGATATTGACAACTTTGATACATAAACCACAGAAGACTAGTTCTAATTTTCCCATACATTTAATAGCTTTTCAGTTGCACAAATCCAGCTGATATGCTTTAGTAAATGTGCTATGATCGGAATTATATAGTTGTTAGGAAAAGAGAAGAGCACACAACTTCTGGAATTTATTTTTTGACCATAATAATCTTGTAAGGATACACATCATCCTTGGTTGCAGAACTCTTAACAGTCTCAAGCTTCATGTAATCACTGCCTTAATGATACGTGTTCAAAACAATTTAGTTTAAAATTTACTGTCACTTTACCCTATATATGTAAGGGAGGATTAAAATTATGTATTGGCTGTCAACTTGTACAATGACTGATTTGTAACTTTTCCCTCTTAAATATGTTAATTTATATTTTAATTAAATTGTAAGAATTTCACACAGTGGAATTCCTTGTAACAAGATAAATTACTTGAAGGAAATTATGCTGGAATAACTGCATAAATTTACATACACGAGAAAACACAGGAAAAAAAGACAGACAAGCAAACAGTAAAATAAGTTAAATAATAATCTACATGAGTCAAATGCCAACTTTCCCAGTAACATTTAACAGTAACTACTCTTGGCGTGGTTTTGCTGGAGACTCCCACAATATGTATAATTATTTTTTAAATTGTAGAAAATGATCATATTTCAATTAATACCCAAAAAAAGAGATTTAAAATAAAAATCTGTTTGTCTTGTACTAAAATACTAGTTAGCCTGAATTTGTAGATCTGTTAATCTATTTAGGAAGGTCTATAACCTACAACTTCTAATCTGCCTCAGTGTGGACCTAAAACCTATAAATATCACACTATAGCAATTGAGGAGTTTGCTCTCCATATGTGAATCACATTTACTTCTATCTGTAGTCAGATATGTGTGTCATCAACCCCAAGATTTAATATAAATCAAAACAAAGGATGTCTGAAAAATGCATTAAAAGTTGCATTGGAAATGTTGCCATAGAATAATCTTCTGTAAGTTTCATGTTACTAGAACTAGAAAGGATATATTTTAATTATATGTCACTGAGTATTTCTATAAGATCATATCCAAACATGGATGATTCAACTAACAGTCTTCAGAAGTATACAGTGTAATTGAGTAAAAAGTTGGAATTTCCTGCAACTCTTCTTTGTCTTGAGAAAAATATCAGATCTTTTTAGCTAAGAAGTTGCTGCTTTCATGCCTCTTTATCAATATTTGTGGTTTCAGAAAATAAGGACTAATAATGTAATCTCAGATGATTTATTTTAAATTTGTTCTTTTGATGAGTAAAATTGTCCCATGGTTTTAACAGGGGACACTTTTTAACAGGTTGCTTAACCTGTAACTCTTCATTTTTAAGCTAGGAAGATTTTCATTATTATGGGGAAAAAAACATCCAACATTAGAAAAGTGGTATTTCCTATTTACAGCTCCTACATTTGAAACATCTGCTCTTTATCTCTGTACCTCAGTGAAGCCTGCTGCTATTTCAAATATTAGTAAGAACTTATTCCCCAGACACACATATATAAAAGTACAGATATACCTTAAATGCTGTTATCTCCTGGAAGTCCTTTTGTCATTATTTGTTACTCTGGTTTTACAGAAGATTTTTAAGATAATGAGCATGGTGACTACAATGAAAATGGGAGCTCATGATCTGACAAGGATGACCAACTTTGTTGCATAAAACTACAGATTGGTAGAACTGCAGAAGTTGGTGTGTGATAGTCATGCAAACATACTCTGATTTAGTATATGCAGTAGCACAAAGAACGTAATGTTTAGAACAGATAACTATTTAATACTTTCCTTCATAGTCAAATGTGGATTTATCTCTATTTTTACATAATACCTAGACTGGATTATGAACCATATATTCTAACAGTGGTGAAAACTGAACTTTAAAAATGAAGATCTCATTTGTACATGCAAGTAGACTCATTCAGAGATGAGACAGATTGAGCCAAGTTAACAGTTGGATATCCATGGACTTACTCAATAAAATAGTCTGTTGACCGTTGCCTCCATCTGAAAGCTAAAGTCAAAGTCAAACTAGATGAAGGAATTCAAGTTCTCTTCCACTTCTGCTTTTCCCCCTCTCTTGTTCAAAGTTGTAGCCCTACTAAACTATCTTTAAGCACAGTCACCTTAACATTTAAGAATTCTCAAATAATATCAAAAGTTAAGGGTTTTTTAGAAATGTATATCTTACTGCTTGTTTTTACAGTACCTGAGCAAGGTTCATGAGCGTATCTCTGAAGTGACCTGAAGTCTCAGAATCAATATCTTGCTGAAGATCATTGTTATATTCTAGATTAAACCAAAAACATATAAATCACAAATGAACATGCTTTGAATAGTACTAATGAAGATTACCAAACAAAGGATAAATAAATAGGGTGCAAATACTTGTCCATTTTCTATGGTGATTATTCCACAGTAATCTGTGCAGGTTTGACATGGACCTAGCCATGGGGCTGGCAGGTCTGTCTGCGCCCTGCTGGGGGTTTCTGCCCTGCCGAGGGGCCTGAGCTGCTGTCCTGGCTCGCCTGTCCACCCACCCACAGGCACAGCCCCACTGCTGCTGCTGTGTGGCAGTGGGAGACTCGGAAATGCCCCATCAAGGCAGTAAGTGGTGTCCAGCCTGAGTAAGCATTTTCTGAAAGACAACAGCTTATGTACTTTTTTGAATACAGTGTGCAAGAATTTCTGAAAATCCCCAAATGTGGCTTCCAGTTATTTCAAATGCCATAGGCAGCAAGCAATACATCTCAAAAATGCTACAATGTATTTTCAGTGTTAAACATTTTGCTTCAGCCTTTTCCGTATAGTTATGGGAGAGGATGGAGAACAGAACCAGTTAGTATTGTGAAGTAATTTTTGTACTTCAGTTCCTTCATGTGTGCTAATAAATCCAGAGCACAAACAGTACAGCTGCTACTGTGCACTTGTAAAAAACATTACGCATTAAGTAGGCTTCTTTTATCTGGAAGATCTCCATATTAGATCTTGAGGCTAAAATGTCAATTAGACATTTTTCTTCTGTGTCTGCTCCCTGTGTGGAAAGAATTAAATATGAAAATATGTTGTTAGTAGAAAACACAAATTTTAGAAGAAAATAATGCTGCACTCATCAGATATAGCAATATATAGATATAACGCTCTCTGCTGGAGCAATGCACAGTGCATTTTTGCATAGTCTACCTGTTTAAATAGAAAATGACTTTAAATTATTAGTAGAATCCTGTATTTCAAATATATTCCTACTTAGGATTATACATAATATATATATATATATATATATATATATATATATATATATATATAT